CCCCCCCCCTCCCCTAGCACTGCCTTCGGAAGCGAGCCATGTCTGTGAAAAACACAACGTAGGTTGAAACCATGGGCGGTCATAACCCGCCTCATCTCCTATCTGATTCGGCGCGAAAAGAAAACCAAATCAATCTTCCCATAGACAGCATTATTTGTATCTCCGAGATCTCCGTTGATTGCAAACAAAACGCCAACCAATCACCGGCGACATGTTAGCACAATGGTCCCTCGGACGTGCTATCCTATTCCGGCCGAGCTTGTGGAGCGGCGGCCTGGCCCGTCTGTGACACACTACCGGAGGTAGAGTCGGTCTGCTCGCCATCATGACATTCATCACCCGACGGAGTACGCAAGGGCCACAAATCGTGGCAGCAGCAGCAGCAGCAGCAGCAGCAGCAGCAGCAGCCACAGTGCCAGTGTTGCCCGAGCAAAACAAAGCACCACGGGAAACAAAGGCACGGGATGGGGGGACGGAGGGGCAGGATGAAATGAGACGAGAGTGGGTGAGACCGACGGGTCGGGTTTTTCCTGTTCAGCGGTATGCGGGGAGGGAGATCAGATATGAGATATCTGCGCATTCATACAATACATGACAGCCCCGCCAGCAACTAGCGAACTGGAGCAAGCCCCACAAGAAAACCACCGGACACGGTGTTGTACTGCTATAACGTCCAGGCTTTTGTTGGGACCTGTGAATGCCTCTACACCAGGTCGTAGCAGAGGCGAAATATAAATAGTTCCTGTTACGTCGAAGCGAGCGAAGTACAAAGGTGTTGACATCCTTCACCTTTCGCGCCCTAACATCGNGGGGGGGGGGGGGGGGGGGGGGGGGGGGGGGGGGGGGGGGGGGGGGGGGGGGGGGGGGGCATAGATACAGTGTCCATACTTTCGGTGTCCTCAAAGCGTGGACAGCTGATGTCCTTAAAAGCGGACATGACCGCCGTTATTAAGCGGGGACATACATCGAGGAGTGCCCTGAAGTGCTGTGTCCTTAAACCGAGGACGACGGTCCTTACCGCGGGAGGACTGCGCTAAATTAAGCTGGGAAGACTACCCAGAATACCCGGGGAGTGCCCATCAAGCGGGGACAACTGTCTTTATTTCTGGGACGATTTACAACGTACCTCCGATGAGAGGGCTCCGCCGCGGTTGCCGTCGGACGTGCCGGCACTCTTGCCATCGGAGGCGCTGGCGCTCTCGGAGGTGTCGGATCCTATGTCCAGGATGTCGCGAAGGTTCCCGGAGCGATCGACCTTCAGCATCAGCTCCGCCAGGCTTCCTCGCCACCTGGTGGGTTGACGTTCAGGAGAGCGAAAAAAAAAAAAGAGA